AGCTAATTTTCAGCAGATCATTTTATTTTAAAATAAGAACTGGAGAACATACTCAGCACGTCCGTTTGGGCATGATACAGACAGCAACAGAGCTGAAAGCGACTCTTTTGAATACAGATACTGTAGTTCTTGGGATACTTTTGCTGCCAGCGACAATGACAACAAATTCAGAATGATTTAGTGAGCAAGGAAAATGAATTTGAGACGACAAGAAGTCCCGACAGGAGCTGCCTTCAGAGTTGGTTAATTCAACCCTTCTCCACCCTAAGCAGAAACCCAGGAATTTCCTTCATTCTTCCCCTGTCTTGTCCTCACGTGGCCTGCTGGTAGGGTCCTGAGATGGTGGCCACAGTTCCAAGTGTCACACAGACAGGACTGATACCGAATGACCTCTCTTCATCAGCCAAGACTTTTTCTGGATGTCCTTTAGTCACTTCCCTCCGAATTGAGTTGGCCAGAATTAAATCACGGTCCCTTCCCTAAACCTATCAGTGGCCAGAGGAAAGGGTGCCCGGTGAGAGGATTTGCCCTGGAGCTGGGGCAGTGGCACCTTCCTTGGGTCACACGGGGGTGGGCGGCACACCCAGGCAAAATTGCAGCTCCTCCTCGAAGGGAGAAGGGGCAGCCAGTGTCTGCTGCCCTTGCCACCAATGTGGGGCTATCAATGAACAAAAAGAAAACCTGGCTGCTCCATGACCGTGTTCTCCATGGCCATGTGGCATGTGGGGATGTCACTCACTCAGTGTCCCCGGCATTGCTGGAGGGAGTGGATGGAGGCTTCTCGGCAGGCTGCTGTTGCTCAGCTGAGGTCCAGGCTCCTCCGGGCCCTGGTGGCAGCTTCTCTGCACATCGAGCTTTCTTCCCCATGCCAACTTCTTTTTTTTTCTACATCTTTTAAATAGATACAGTTTATTGCACATACATTTATTATCAATAAATTTTATAAGAAAAAATACTAAGGCCTTGTTCGTATCTTTCTTCATACCTGAAATCTATTTCTCATTCAGTAACAGCTTTATTTCAGTGTTCCTGGTTCTGCCTTCTGAAACCATGCCGATAAAGGCGTGAACGAAGTATATTTATTCCGATACAAGGGTCCCTCAAATGTTTCTTTCCTCTTAGTCTTTTCTTGTTCGTATTATACCCTTCCCCTCCCCAGTCCACCTCAGCCCGTTTCTGTAGATACTCTCTAAGTCCCAGGCTCTGTAACCTTTTTTCTTTTCCCACCTGTGAATGCACTTTAGTTTGCCAACATTTTTTACAAAATGGATCATCCAAAACTGAATGCAGTACTCCAGGTATTATTCGCTAAGTCTTATTCAAGGGAGCTAATATGGGTTTCAGAAACAGCAGGGAAATAGCCAACTTCTGCTTATGAAATTTTCACTGTTGCTGATGCATGGTGGCCTGGAAGATCCGTGCAGAGAGTAGCTCTCTTGTCAACGTCTTTGGGGACCAAGGAGGTCACCCATCCCTGAATTTAACAATGCCTCACATCTGTCCACTTGGCACGGTCACAAACGCTGTTTTGCTGGACTTGTACCATCTCTTTGCAAGTCAGGCCCTATTACCTGCAGTTTTCAGATGAGCAGACCAAGGCCGAGAGAGTTTTGCTGGCTGCTAGTGGGACAGCACAGACTTGGGGCTTTGAGTGCAGGGTTCTCTGGCAAATGAAGTCTACCCTTCAGGGCCTCAGGCCTGTTTGCCTTTGACCATTCCAGTGGGGAATTCCTGACAATCACGTTACTCTTCCCCCTCTCACGACACAGAAAGCAGAGCCTAACTGAGTCCCGGGGTGATGCGGTTTGTCTCTGTGGCCAGCGGCAGGACTCAGGGTCCCTGCACATGTCATGAAACTCCTGGACCCCTTCTTTCTGCAGTTGCTGGACCAGAGGCTGTTGAGCTGTGTAGAGCAGTTTGCACTCGTACCCAGGTTCTCAAACGGTTGTGTCTTTCGAGTTCTTGAGTCTGGTTTGCATGATTTTCTGATTTTTTGCTTGGATTCGGCCAGTTGTTACCTCACGTGGCTGGTAGCATGCCTTTCTCTGGAAAAATTTCTCTCCCTGGACGTTGTGACATCTTTTTGGATCCTTTGTGGCTTCTCAGCTCTGCTATGGATAATCTATGTTGTCAGACAAATGCCCTGAGGATAAATGAAATATTAATAATGCTATAATGCTAATTTTAAAATACCCATTGCACGCATTTAATAGAATCCTCTCTGGGCTTTATGCTGGGCTTTAAATCAGGCCCAACAATGTCTCAAACATAAATCAAATTTTTCTTTCAGCCTATTAGAGGTTTTGGCACAAAAATATGCTATAGGAGAGCAGAGTATAGGAAATCTTAGCTCATGCTTTTAAAATTCATATTCCCCTTGCAGCAATTGGAAACCAAAGGCTATTTTAATCACTTGTCCATGGAAAACAGCTAACCAAGCAATGATCAATATTGGCTTTTGGATTTGGAGAAAATGAAGTTGGGATATACCTTCTTTAACTCGGGATTTGTGCAGCCTTGCAAAGCGTGATCTGATTCACTGTTGTCCTTCCCCTTCCTGTGGAATATGGAGCCACCAAACAGGTGACCCACCCTCCTCGTATGGCCAGATGGGAAAGTAACACGTTACCGTGAAGAAAATACTTTGAAAATATGTTTAGGGTTATAAAATGATTATTCCTTAGCTTTTTTCCCCTGATTATAAAGATTGATATTCTTTATATTGGGAAATTTGGAAAATACACAGAACTATAAAGAAAATGAGAGCTCAACTTTTGCAGATTCAACATACTGGCCGGGCACGGTGGCTTACACCTGTAATCCTAGCACTCTGGGAGGCCGAGGCGGGTGGATCGCTCCAGGTCAGGAGTTCGAAACCAGCCTGAGCAAGAGCGAGACCCTGTCTCTACTATAAATAGGAAGAAATTAATTGGCCAACTAATATATATAGAAAAACTTAGCTGGGCATGGTGGCGCATGCCTGTAGTCCCAGCTACTCGGGAGGCTGAGGCAGGAGGATTGCTTGAGCCCAGGAGTTGGAGGTTGCTGTGAGCTAGGCTGATGCCACAGCACTCACTCTAGCCTGGGTAACAAAGCGAGACTCTGTCTCAAAAACAAAAAAGAAACAAACAAAAAAACCCATACAAGCGAGGTCATGCAGTGTTTGTCTTTCTGGGCCTGCTTCCATAGCATTCTCCAGGCTCACCCAGGTTGTCACAGGTGACAGCACGTCCCGCCTCTTCAAGGCTGAATGCTAGTCCACTGGGCATATAGACCATGTTTTCTTTCTTCGTTCGTTCATTCCTAGATGGGCAGTTCCCTGTCTTGTCTACTGTGAGTAATGCCACTGTGAACCTGGGAGTGCAGGTAACCCTTCAACATACTCATTTCATTTTCTTTGGATAAATGCCCACAAGTAGGATCATTAGATCACATGGGAGTTCTAGTTTTAATTTTTGGAGGAATCTCCATACTGTTTTCCATAATGACTGCACTAACTTACATTCCCCCCGACAGTGTGCAAGGGAGCCCTTTCTTTCCTCCACATCCTCACCAACACTTACCTTTCATCTTTTTGATAATAGCCATTCCAACTGGTGAAGTGATATTGTGGTTTCATTTGCATTTTCCTAGGTAATTAGGGTTGTTGTATATGGTGGGGGGGTATTGGGAGGTGGTAAAAGGAGACACAATCTCAGTTAGACAAAGAGATCTATTGTACAGCACGGTGACTGTAGCTAATAGTAATGTGTTGTATTGAAAGTTGCCACGACAGTAGACTTTAAGCGTTCTCACCACAGAAAAATGTTATGGGAGGCCACGCATATGTTAAGTAGCTCAATTTAGCCGATCCATAATGTATACATATTTCAAAACATCATGTTATACACAATAAATACATATCATTTTTATTTGCCAATGTCTATTAGTGTTTTGATGACTTCCTTCAAGTGATCGTCCTTCCCTTCCTACTTCACCTCTTTCCTTTTATCTAGTTATTATTTTTTTCTTTTTGCCATACTGGGATCATATTATATATGTGGGTTTGTATCCTGATTTCTTCCCCAAGAATGTTATGTTGTATTTTCTACAAAATCGTAGCAAATGCTTTGCTGTGACATTTGGGCGATTTGGATTAAACGTTTCTATGCACAGGATGGGGTTGGCCAGGGGCCTCCTCAGTGGAGTGGGAGTGTCCACTGGCCTGTGGAACCATTTATAAATAGTTTCCCCATTCAAAATATTGATTTTGATGCAATACTTAAGACACTTTCTAATTTGAAAATATTTTCAACCGAAGCAGATGCCATTTGCAATTCGTCATGTTGTGAGGATTCTATTAAATATAATACTTTGGGATTGAATAGTTTACTTGGAAAGTTGCATAAGTACAGGAATCCCTATATGTCTGAGACAGGGAGAAAGAGAAAGAGAGAGATTGAGATTTTGCCAACCGGCATATTCTAAGAAAATTTTTTTCCTTTTTGTCTTTTCAGTTTGGTCGTGTTCTAATCTTTTGAAAGTACTCATCCTCCTAGCATTTATCAATTACAAGGGTCGTTTCTGTTTATTGGACTAAATTGTTTGGTTACAGTTGTTAGGAAATTCTATAAACCCTGCTACTCTGTTTTGAGCAGATAAAAGCACTAAAAGAATGATCTGGGGAAACCATTATTACTAACGCTGGGGGCTGCAAGGGAAGAGAAAACATTTTCAAAATATTTTCTTTGCAGAAGTGTGCATGTGCTTTGGTGCACCAGTGCAGACTTGGCCTTCGTTGCGTGCTAATCTTTGCTTCATACTGCCGGGCTTGCCTCGGAGGAGTGGAATGTCACCCCCTCTTTTATTTCTCAAAGGGAAGGATTTTAAGTTCTTTCCCCTTTTAGCATATTTTAAAATAATGGTTAAGAAATAGGTTTTGCGACTACATGCACAGTTGATCCTGGGCATTCATATTTGGAGAAAGAAATAAGGCTTAACATTCTTACATTTTTGTCCAGGTTGTTCCAGGACCCTTGGAGACCCAAGGAAAGCCGTGCTGACCGAAAGCAAGACAAATGACTCGCAGAGAAAAACGATGGTGGAACCCAGGGCAATTAGAGGTAAAACAAACACCCCTTCCCCCAAATCCTACCCCTCCCAGTACAGACTTTTTTAAAAAAATGTGAACATGTGAATATATTTAATATTTGATCTTTGTGGTCCCAAAGCTCATAAGACCTTTTCTTGCCCCTGTGCTACACTTGGAGGAATTCTGACGCCTGTCACTGTCCCCCCACACTGTGGGGCTTTTAGAGTGACTGCTTCGTCAGTACTGCAGTCTTCCGTCTCTTTCTCTGCCATCCTCTCCTCTTTTCTGCCTCTTCCAGGAAAACCAGAGGGTCAGCATCTACAGACCTGTGCATTTACAGTATTTGTGTTTTCTGTCATACTGCTGAATTTGCTTTATAATTATTTTATAGCTGTTTTACCCAAATGCAATGGACACCTCATTTGAAGCAGCACACACAGGGGGACACGTCTCTGTGTTCGTGAAACATTTTCTCCTGTTGGGGCAGGTGAGCGAGCTGTCTCCAAAGCGTGCCCCATCGCGCCCAGACGGCTGGGCTCCCGCAGAGAAGCAGTGCAAGGGTTCAGGTTGTGGTGGGGCCCCCACGACACTCATTGAGGCCACAGAATGTAAGAGCCACCCCTTTGCCAAAATTAAGCCCGGAGTGATTAGTAGACGGGAAAACAGTGACGGGTCCCTGGGACGTGCCTTGGACAGGTTAGTGTCCCATAGGACGTGGTGCAGTCAAAACGGATGTGGTGTGTGAGGCTGCCACTCACTGTCCCCTCCAGCCCCCCATCCAAGTTTCATCCATTAAAATATTTTAGCAAGTCCCTCGACAGAGGCGTGTTAGTCTCCTAGCACTGTTGTAACAAGGTGCCACAAACTGGGTGGCTTGAAACAGTGGAAATTCACTGTCTCGCAGTTCTGGAGGCTGGAAGTCCAAGACCAAGGCACCGGCAAGAGAAGTTCTTTCTGAGGGTAGCGAGGGACAATCTGTTTCACGTGTCTCTTCGCCTTGTAGACAGCGTCTTCTCCCCGTATCTTCTCATCATCTTCCCTCTACACAGGTCTGTCTCTGAGTCCTCCCTTTCCATGAGGATGCCAGTCACGCTGGGTCAGGGACCACAGGACCGCTCTTTAATGTAATTGCCTCTGTAAAGATCCTGTCTCCAAATACAGTCACATCCTTAGGAACTGGGGGTTAGAACCCCAACGTATGAATTGGGGTGATGGGGAAATTTGGAAAGATGAGCCACATCCTACTGAAGAAGTTCAACTTCCTATCTTTAGATGACTGTAAAGGTGCATTCAGTTTCTCATACTTCCCCCCACCTCCCACTGGTCTGCCCTGCTTATCTCTGGAGTGTAGGAGCTGGGACAGGGACAAGGGTGGGCAGGTAGGGTGCAGAATTTAAGGTGGTGCTGGCTCCCAGGTGCTGTTCCTGCACCTGCCTGAGCCTGAGAAGGAGAACTTCCTTAAAGCATGGGCCCTGGGTGTCCCCTGCCTCCCTACCTCCAGCTCTACAAGGGACCAAAGCCCCAGCAAGGGGCAGGAGTCAGACCTGTGCAGTTCTCCCAGTAGGGTTTGCTGGTGACAGACTCATGCGCCTAATGTCCACTCATCCAGAACAAGTGCACCTAATGCCCAGCTCATTCAGTGATGGGATTCATTATCATGAATCCAAAATTGCTTAGAGCCATTCTGCCTAAAATGTTTTCACTTAATGACTAGTTAGCTTAAAACTAAACATTCATTTTTCAAATTAAGGTTTTTAGTCAATTGACAAAGGGTCCTTATGAAAATTAGCAGTTTATTAATTGACAATTATTTTTCTCAAAGTTGTAAAATTTTATACAGCATCAAAAATCATCTGCTTGGAGCATTTTTACTTTCTTAGTAATAACGATTACCACTTGTTAAGTGCTTACCATGTGCCTAGCATTGTGGGAGTTTTCTTAGGCATAATTCAATTTATTCCATACAAAAAGCCTGCAAGGATAAACAGAAGACAGCCAATCAATGGCTCAACCCACACCACGCTACCCAGTAGGATAGACACTGGCCAGATCACGCATTCACACCTGTGTACACTGCTGAACAGCATTCGGTAGTTATTATTTTTTTCTCCTGACACCAAATATGCAGTGTCTTTGCCAACACCAACCAATTATTTAACTCTCTGATACCAACTGGGTATCCAACAATTCAATTCGATTCTAACACTACCCAAAGTTAGCATGGAACTCCACAGGTGGAAGGGTTCAATTTCCTAAGGCTGTCCTCACTTCAGATGCCAGTTGCAAGCGTTGGGTCCCACTTGGCTTCAAAGTTGGGGGTTCCCATAGCCCTCTTCCCTTCAAGTTCTACAATTTGCTAAAATAACTCGTAGAACTCAGGAAAGCGCTGTACTTACTATTATAGTCTATTATAAAGAATACAAATGAATAGCTCGATGAAGAGTTACACAGAGTGAGATCTGGAAGGGTCCCAAGTGAAGGAGCCTCTCTCCCTACAGCACTGGGGTGCACCACCCTCCTGGCACATCAATCTGTTCACCAACCCAGCTCCCCAAACACCATCAGTTAGGGGTTTTGATGGAGGCTCATTACATAGGCATGATTGGTGAGCTCATTGGCCATTGGTGATTAACTCAATCTGGTGGCCCCTCTCCCCTCCCAAGAGGAGGGGGTGAGGCTAAAAGTTCCAAGTGTCTAATCAAGACTTGGTCTTTCTGGTACCTGGTCCCCAGCCTGAAGCTCTCTAGGGGCCCACCGAGAATCACCTCATTAGAACCAAAGATGCTCATGTCCCTCCGGAAATGCCAAGGGTTTTAGAAGCTCTGTGCCAGGAACTGGAGACAAAGACCATGTATCTTTCTTGTTACGTTACAGTAATATTACCCACACGATGCAGCTGTATAACTAAGGCTCTGAGAGGACAAGGTGGCTGTTGCTACGTTTCCAAGGAGGAAGATGGCAGACCTGGTTTCCATCCTACACCTGACTCTGCCGCTGTGCTCATGTCCCCCAGACTGGAGCCCTGCCCCATGGCTTGGAGGGCCCACCCCTGCCCTCTCTGACTGTGTCCCAACCCCTATTCCAGACCACACCCTGGGGGCTGAGAACCTGGAGCCTCTCTACCCAGATTGGACCGAGCATCTTTTGGACCTATATCAGCCTCTTTTCTGGAGTCCATCTCCTTGGGCCGATCTCATATGTGTGTCCCTGGGCCTGAAGGACGACCAGGGAGTCTCGTTGGATGGAGTGTGACCATGTGGACTTGGGTGTCTGCGTGACTGTTCAGGAGGCCCCTGGCATATAGGACAGAACCGGTGTTGGGAAGAAAAGAGGTGTAGGGGCTGGGGGGTCAACGTCTTCCATCAATTTTCTTGCATCAGCTCTGCAAATATTCAGGTCTTCTCTTAGCCCTTTTGCAGTACGCCCTCCCCGATTACAAAATGCTTATTTTCCTTTTATCCCTGTGTACCGGTCTATACTTTATGCAGTTCTAGCAAAGGTAACCCAGATCAAGTTTGTTTCTAATTAGTTAGAAACTGGCATTTTGAAAACAAAAACAAAGAAGGGAGAAAAGAATTCTGTTGAATAGCAAGGCTTTTTATTTTTCAAGATATCCAATAATAAAATGATGCTGGATCATGAAATGCAAAATCATAAGCATATACATTACCAGGTGAATGTATCTTAAGAAACAAATATTAAAGAATGTTTTTAGACGACATAGATTCAAGTTCTGCAAGGGTTCAAAGTCAGGTAATAGAAAATAGAAAAAAAAAGGCTCCCACAGTGACATAAAACCATCACCTCATTCACCAATTATTAAATATTTGAGATGTCATTATTAGGAACACAAAAGTAAGTTAGAAGAGTTCCTTAAAAATCCATAAAATACCTCCCAAATGGTAAAAAGAAAGAACAGGCCCCCAAGTGACTGCAAAAGGGTCAAGGGTATTTGTGGGTTGAGGAGGCCTGGGAAAGGTGGTTGCCTGTCATCCTCCTGGTCTTTAGGTCTTTGGTCTCTCACTGGTGTGGGCTAGGGGATGGCAGGGCCATCGCACTTGGTGACCCCCTCTGGTTGACGATGACCCTGGTCGTGGTGGGTTAAGGGGCTCGTATACCCTTGGTGTCTAATGTGGGGCAGCTGGGGGAGTTTCTGTACTTTGCTTCCCTGCCTTCCTTCCAGTCCTCACAGCTCATGATCACCAAGGCTCCTTGGTGGCACCTCGCCTTCCCTCTGTGTCGCTCGGCTCTGTCCCCTCCTCCAGGTGTCACCCACAGTCCTCCTCTGGCACCTGCACCAGCCGCCTGCTCTCCAGCCTGAGCTCTTCATGTCCGTGTGAGCTGTTTCTCCATGTCCATCCTGCAGGGATTGGGGCCGTGTGGCACCGGAATCTATATATTCCCTTCCCTGCCATTTGATCCTTGATGCGTTGGAAGCACCCAAAACACCCCCATAAGAACATGAGACACAGACAGTGGTTGATTCAGTCTGCATCTCGGTTGGTTACAGATGAGTGATATTTTCTGCCGTCTGGGATATCCAGAACGTCGCTCCCACTTCCCGGCATTCAGGAGCCCCAGAAAGCTGGCGGAGCGTCGTGTGCAGCGAGAATTCAGTCGTTCCTGGGAAGGGCTCTGAGAATCCCATGGCGCCTTCCGGGGGAGGTTTCTTGGTTATCCTTTGGTTTCCAAACTCATGTGGACTGTAGGATTAGGGTTTGAGATCATGCCTCTTCAAGGAATGGAAATAGTATCTCTGTGTGTTGGAATGAAGTTAGTTTCCTTTGAAATCCCTGTTGGAGTTTCCTTTATCTCTGGCTGGAAATGTTTTAAGGGAGATCTTGGTAACTTGATTACTCAGGGCAAAGTCACAAAAAAAAGGCTATGTAGTGAACTGCCCCAAATCTTGGCGGCTGAACACAGCAAGCACTTACTTAAGCCGTGAGCCCGTGTTCTGATCATCCGGGCTGGTCTTGGCTGGGCGTGACTGATCTGTCTGCCTCCCTCCCGTGTCCCGGTTGTGGTTGTGTGTGAGATCACGGAGGGTGGTCTTGGTTGGGTGGCGGGAGTGACTCGGCTGTGTCCCGTGTGTGCTTGTCATCCTCTGGCATGTGAGTCAGGCGTGTTCCCGCGCTGGAGGAAGAAAGCAGGTGGAAACACGTCATGCCCCGTGAGACCCTAGCTGGCAGCTGGCGCTCTGTCCTGCTGCTGCTGTGTTCTCTGGGCTGAAGCAGGTCATACAGGCAGCCTCAAAACAAGGGTTGGGACCGTGATTCTAATGCTTTAGCGGGAGGAGCCACAGTGTCACGTGGCGAGAAGCCTGGGTGCAGAGAGGAGTGGAGAATTGGAGGCATCACTGCGACAGCAAAACATAAGCAATTTACTGTCTATCTCCTCCGTGTATTTAGAGCACGAAGCAGGACATTTTAATTACCTATATGTGTAATAACCACCCCCCCCCAAACCTGGTAGGTTAAAACAACCACCGTTAATTGTTTGTCGTGATGGTGTGGACCGACTGTGCTCAGCTGGGCAGCTCTGCTTCCCTGGTGTCAGTGGGGGCCGCGGTCACCTGAGAAACAGCCGTCTGGACCAGCCACAACAGCTCCCTCGCCGGCCTGGCGTCGGGGTTGGCAGCCAGCCGGGCACCTCGGTCCTCTGCCGCGCTGATGTGCCGCCCAGGGCGTGGGGGCTGGGTTCCGAGAGGCAGGAAGGGAAGCTTCCGGTTCCGGTAAGGCGCGGGCCGGGCCTGTGCCGTGTTCTCTAGGTGAGAGGCAGCCGAGGGCAGCCCAGGGGTGAGGTGAGCGGCAGCAGGTGTGTGCAGGGAGGGAGGAATCGCGCGGGGTGAGCTGGCCTGCAGAGATGGCCGAGCGCGGAGAAGCAACAGTAGGTGCCCCAGAGCGGGGGTCATGCGGTGGGAAGCTGTCCTTCTGCCAGGAGGGCTCGAGGGTGCTGCTCCGCTTCCAGGCTGATGAGCCCAGGAGCAGAGCGGTGTTTTCTGGGGCACCTGTTGTCCTTGCCAGGGACAGGGAGGGGAGGATTCCTGTGCTCCCCGAGACCTTCAGCCAGGCCCTGTCCTCCCCCACTCTGCCCTCCCGTGGGAACGTCAACAGCGTGGGTTACCTTCGACTGCTGCCAGGCTCCATTTCAAGATAGTGCTTCATTCCCTTTGCCTTTTTGGCAACCATTATCCCCAAAAGGGAATGGCTTTCAGCCTAGGGGAAAAAAATTGCCTATTTTCCAAGACTGAGAAATTTGGCTACAGTAAAAAAATAATGCCTGAGTTTCCAAGCATGTCATCTTCTTGGCCAGCCAGACTCCCCCCAGTTTCGGGAGGACTCCAGGGAGCCCTCTCGGGAGGACAGACTGGCAGCACACGGAGCTGAGGTGAGCACTCCCGGTGAGAGGCCACGTGGCTGGCAGTGTGCGTGTCCGTACGGAGTGGGGCGGAGAGGGCAGATACAATTGTCGTTGGGACTCCTGGGAGGGCCTCAGCGGGTCCCTGCTCTAACGTGACCAGCAGCGAATTTGGGAGGCAGCTTTCGTGTCTCTGCTTCTGTAATAATACTGTTTATTTTTATTGTGAGGTTTATTACTGCTGAGAGACATAGGCTATATTTATTATATAAAAAGGAAAACATAGAAAAGGCAATTGATAAAAAAAAGATAAATGATATCACCTAAAAATATAAATCAGAGAAGGTATTTTTAGTGATGGCAAACAACCGAGGGCTTGGCTGAGATTTGCAGGCACCAGCGGGCTGGGTGGGGAGCAGTTACTGGAGGCTGGGGCTGGGAGGAGGGTACCCCAGGGTAGGAGAAGTCACCCTAAAATCCAGCAGTGGCCAGAACCGTGGCCCAGCACCAAGGGTGGCAGGTGTCAGTGGTAGGAAGGGGAGGGGAAGAGATAGCCCAGCCTTTCCATCCTCGAACCCCCTGGTGTCCATTAGGGCCACAACAAGCAAACCTGACAGGTGGCAGGAAGGCAAAGGATCTCTGCTGTGGCCATCTGTAGTGGCCATCCCTGGGGCAGGGAGGGTGGAGGGGGGCTCTCCGGACAGTGGCCAGAACATGCTGCTTTACAATCTGAATAAAGGGATGTATTGGGTGAAGTATACATTTTTCTGGAAAATCCCTGGAATATGGGCTCCTGTAAATGTAATTCATTTAAGACATGTTTAAAAACATCTTTTCAAAATATGGGCTGATAGCCATTTACATATGTCAAATTGAAATTTCTTATGGGCCTTGGAGACAGGCAGGCCGATCTGATTTGGATCTTGGTTTAACTGCTCATTAACCAGGTGGATCCCGGGCAAATCGATAACCTCCTTGAGTCTTGGAGTCCTCATCTGGACAATGGGATTGCTAATCTCGGAGTCAGGGGTGAAACTAGATGACAAAAACGCATCCGGAGCCCTTAGCCCAGGCACTTAGTATTTAGCACTTAAGTACTCAATGAACAGTAGCTGTGCTTGTTATTAAGAACTTAATAACAGAGCTTTAAAAGATAGGTAGATGGCGTCAGTTTTGATGGGAACGTCAGAAGTCCAGCTTTGTCAATACAGTAGCAAATGCGTCTTGTTTTAGAGGATCACTCATGCTGCCCCTGTGAGGGTGAGACCTGGGTCGGCAGGACACAAGTCCTCTGAGTGTCACACTGGGTTCTCTTGGGGGTAAAAGGAGGTGATTTTCCAGTGGAAGAGAAGCGAGTTTTCTAGTGGCCTCATGTACTACCCAACACCTACAGGATGCTTTGGGGCAAATGTTTTGATGCAATGCCATTGGCGTGTCGTGTTCGGTCCTACTGGAAAGCCAAACATGGAAACATGGTTGTTTACACTGTCTGTGTTGCCCTCTTTTGTCTCCTAGCTGTTGCTGGTTCTGCACGGCTGGTGAACCAGCTGGCTTACTGAAGGACATGATTCAGACTGTCCCGGACCCAGCAGCTCATATCAAGGTAAGTCCCGCCTTGGCAGGGCAGCCGCCCCTGACATCCTCTGTGGCTGGACTTCCGTGGGTGGCGGCCCGAGTGTCAGTGCATGCCGGGGTCGGCCAGCCAAGGCCGTGGGCCAGTTCCAGCCACCGCCTGATTGTGGGCAGCCCAGGACCTAAGAAGATGGATGTCACATTTTTAAGTGGTTTTAAAAAAAACTCAAAAGAAGGATATTTCATGGCACGTGTAAATCACATGAAATTTGCATTTCAGCGTCCATAAAGGAAGCTTTATTGGAACGCAGCCACACTCATGCATTTACGCCGTATCATCCGTGGCTGCTCTTGCTCTGTGATGGCAGAGTGGAGTAGTTGTGACAAAGGCCACGAGGCCGCAAGCTGACAATATTTACTGTCGGGACCTTTATGGGAAAAGTTTACCAACCCCCAAGTTAACGTATAAAATCACATCCAAATTTTTCCAACTCGTGTTTGAATTCCGTCTCCTTTACCCTCTCCTGGGCTTAGCTAGGAGGAGGCAAGAGGGTCGCTGGTTGGATTTCCAGGGTTCCCACGTTGTTTTATCGGGGCCGATGGGCACCTCACACCTGCCGAGACGACCTTCTGACCCACACTTCCTGCGCCCCGGAGGTGAGAGAGTGAGGAGGTGAAACTTGTGCCAAGGCAAGTCCCAGAGAGGGATCTGGCCCATTTATTTCAAAATAATACTCCACATACATACGGGTTATAGCCACAGGGAGGAAATGAAGTGATGGTTTTAATATACTTCACACAAATGAAGGCTACGGAAGAAATTGGGGCATGAGCTCCCCGATGCAAATAGACTCTTCTGCACCTGTGCTATTTGGTTCAGCTGTGTCTACACTGGCCAGCCAGAATAATTGACTACATGGCCAGTTACTCACTTTCCCCGTATAAATTCATTTTCCCTAAGTGGCCTCGTCGGTTTTACTAATTTATATTCTTTGCCTACAACATTTGTTGAAAATGGAAAGTGGCTTACAATGGAAAGGAGAGTTTATGGTATTGAAAATTTAACCTTTCTTTTTTTTTTTATGACTAAAACCAGAAAATGCCTTCCAGAATCCCACACGTATATGTAGACACGTGCACATTCAGAAACAACACATTTGGGAAGGTGTTGTGGACCTCGAGCAAGTCACACTCAAGCGCATTTGATTTCTTTGGAAATGGAATTAGAAGTAATAAGAGTTTCTAGTGCATTCTTTGAGCTTTGTGGGTGCTCCCAAAATTTCAGAAATCAGGGTAATTCGGGACCTTGAGGATTCTAAGATTTGCCCAGGGATACGGAGGAACAGATACTTAGGGGAGCACTATCATTTGATTTCTATGTGATATTTTATCGGGGTATAACAGTTATGTTTACAAAAATGCAAGTGGGAGATCTCTTGGGGATGTGATAAGGTCTCTTCAAAAATATTTGGGGGCGTATTTGATGAGTGTGTCTCCGCCTGGCATAGAAGGTGAGGGGAAGACGTTTTCCTCTTTAATGTCTGTTGAACATGAAGCTGCACGATGCAAATAAAAGCTCACAGAGAAGATGACACGAGAAAGTGTTCTACAGTGCAGAGCACGAGGACCAACAACAGAAATTCACTTTACTGGCATTTTCCCCCTCGCCAACTGGAAGGAAAAGATGAATCAGCAGGAAATTATGGCGGGTTTTTAAAAGTTAATTCGTAAAGGTCGGAATGATCTTAACAAAAACCCGAGAGACAGGAGTCTTTGAAAATGCGCTTTGGTGGAAGTGTTTTGTATTTGATCTCGGGAATGAACTGTGCTTTCAGCTCTGATCCATCTTATTATCTTCAGACTGGTCGACGTACGTGTAAAGTGAAGGATAATTTTGAGAAGTGGTAACTCTGAGAGATTTTAAAAATAAATTTCAGCTCAGATTGCCCGTGGGTGTTTGGAAAGATGACCTGGCAATGCAGAGTTGCGGTTGCTAATAGCTGCTGTTGGCTGCAAGGCAGGGCGGATTATATTAAAGGTGTTTACTTCCTGTATACGCCTATCAATATTCCACCTATTGGAATTTGAATAACTTTTCCTGGCCTTCTTTTTTTTTTTTCTCTTTGCATATGAAGTTTGAATTCTTGACACTGGCGTTGGGAAAATAAACTTTCCTTCCACTGTTTCCTTAAAATGTATGATTTGGTAATTTATGAAGTAAATGTTATGTGCTGAGAAGCTTCTGGAAGCTTCTGGCTTTGCGCTGAGGAGCACAGCTATCCTTTCTGGGAAAGGAAGTTCTCATGAATAGCACATGAATGGTTCCACTCGATGTGTTAATGTAAATAGTGCAAGATTTTGTCTTTGGCTCATTGCTGCTAAAGCGTTTTTGTCATCTGAAGAAGACTGGGGTTCTCCATAGAAGTGGCTTAACACTGCAGGTGTGCTCAGGGCCGTATGTGACTTCACACTCATGCCACGGGCTGTCCCGGGAAGAGAGGGATGTTCCTTTCGCTTTAAAGAATTTCGTTCTGCACAATTTACGACAGTGCTTTTCTGCCAGAACAAATGGCTTTTGCCCTTTTGTATGTTTAAGGAGCTGGACATAATGAAAAGGAGGAGGGATGGTTAATAACAATGGAATATAAGATATTCCTTGATTTAAATGGTGCAAGAATTGTGGCAATTCATTTACAAATAAAATGACCAGAACATTTATTTTAGCTTACTCTGTGTTGGTGATAATAGTGACAGTCACCAAGCAGATTTTGATTTGTCTTGTTTTGGGAGGCCATTCCACGTACTTTCTTATAGCAGAAATTATGCTGACTTGTCACGCAGATTTGCTCTTAGCACCTTAGGTGACCATACCACTGCTCTGTGAAGGGGCAGAACTATCACAGCCAAAGATGGCCCTGGACTGCTGTCCTCAGCGGGAAAAAAGGCCAGCAAATCCATTTTCTTAGGACCCTATAATAAATATTGTTGGCATTCATTCTAATTCTGACAAAGGATTTTTCAGTTGACATGATCGCATTTCCTAACAAGAGATCTCTTTGTAATATTTTTATTTGCTGGCGCTTGATGAAGAGGATTCACATATCCACCTGCAGCCCATGCAGAATAATACACATTTTGGAGCTGATGGGATGAGGACTGGACTGAGAGGGGACGATCTGAACGTCCGTCCTGCTCCGTGGCTCACCGGCGGTGTAGCCTAGACATGCTGGTCACGAAAACTTTAGTGACTGTCGTGGCTAAGGACACAAGCTTCTGACATCAGGCGACTTACTTCAAGTCTCGCTCCATCTTTTACCAACTCAGTGATTTCGTACAAGTCCTTTGATCTCTCTGTGCCTTGGTCTCCTTTCGTATGAAGTGGAAGCACCTATTTTGTGGGGTTAGTGTGAGGATTAAATGGGTCGGCACATTTAGACCTCATGGAGTTTAAACTATTGTGAGCTGTTACTGTGGTCTATAAGCTGAGGGTAAAGACCCATCTTAAAGATACAAAGTTTTCTGAGATGGGGGTCTTGCTGTATCATGCAGGATGGTCTCCGACTCCTGGGCTCAAGCGGTCCTCCTGCCTCTGCCTCCCGAGTAGCTGGGACTACAGGCACGAGCCACTGAGCCTTCCATGTACTCACACGAGGAGAGGGGGATGGGGGGGTGGAGTAAGGGACCAAAGAGATACAGCCTCTGCCATCCAAGGCACAGGGCACCTGTTCACAAACACCTGGGACACCATGAGGCTGCTGGGGGCGCTGGGCAGGGTCTTGGGTGGCTGCTGTAGCCTGCACCTTGGCCTGCTGCACCTGGCTCAGCCACCGCCCTTCGTCCTGCTTACACACCTGCGCCCAGCGGCCGCTGCTCCTGCCTGCAGACAGGCTGGCAGAGGGGCTTCCTGGGGCGACGCCTTGCTGTTTATTCCAGGTGAAGTATGCAGGTGATTTTTGAGCATTCCCCTTGAGGCCAGTGGCACCTGCACCAGCACACCTGTTTTTTAACACTCCGTTGACACCCGCTATGCCCTGGTCCGTGAGGGATGTCCAAGCTCAATTCTGCTGTCTGCTGCTAGCTGGCATCTGGGTACTGCTCCCTAAGATTCCACGGGGGGTCAGGCACGATCGGTGGACCCAGGACACACAAGATCTGTGTTCAGGTTTCTAGTTGCCATCACATGTGGAGGACTGAAAATCAGCTCACTCAGGATTTGTTTCTAATTATGACTTTTCCACTTGGGTTCCTTTTCTCTTTAGCTTTTATACTTTTGCTCATTTTATTTTAGTTTTTTTAGAGGCAGGGTCTCGCTCTGTCACCTGGGATAGAGTGCAATGCTGTCATCATAGCTCACAGCAACCTCAAGCTCCTGGGCTCGAGAGATCCTCCTGCCTCAGCCTCCCAAGTGGCTGGGACTACTGGTGCCTGCCACCGTCCCTGGCCGTATTTTTGCTCATTTGACTAAGTGTGTTGGGGCCAGATGATTCCAGCTGGAAGCTGGGCTCCACCTCTTATCAGCTGCCTCAGTTTCCTCAGCTGTAAAATAGGGATGAAATAGTGCACCTACCTCATAGAATCAGCATGGAATTAATTAATGCATTTAAAGCATTCAGAGCATGCCTGGCACACAGTAAGCACTTACTATCATCACGTTACATATTATCACCAATACATTATAATGACATTGATACCACATTAATCATGTAATATGTAATTAATATATTAATAAGACATATTATTAATATGTAATATATATAAACAGTCTCTTAAATAACAACAGTAGAAGTGGAGAAGGAAGAAGGGGGAATACTTCTGGAAAGAATTGAAAAGGTACCAGGTCAGAACTTCCCAAGAAGTGAGCTGAGCGATCACTTCTTTCCCACAGGGTTCCATGGCCGCTTTGAAGGTGACGCTGAGTATTTCTGACTATAAAAGATGCTGAACTTAAACTCTGTGCACGTTTTATAGACGGAGGAGTCGATCCCAGTTTTAGAAGTAGCAGCGCGTGTGCGAGGCCCCTGGGAGG